TTTTTTTTTTTTTTTAAAAAAACTAATTTTTTGTCCAATTTATAGTTTCTCAAAATCTATTTTTTTCAAAGTAATTTTTTTTCAAAAATGTTAATCGTTTTATATCGTTTTAAAAAAAAAAAATAATTTTGGTACGGGAAGTTCCAGCAATTTGCCTTAAGGCACGATGCCCTAATTGCCTTAAGACAGAATTCCACTTACAGCTAGTGTTATTTTTTTATTGACTTTGTGTACGTGTACATTAGTCATTTACAAAATAGTAGAGTCTAATCATAATTACACAACTTATATTGTTATCTTATTGGAATGAATATATAAGTATATAAGGCACTATATATTCTTTTTTCAGTCAATGATATCATTAAGTAGTAAAAGGAACCCAATAATATTTTTTTTAAAACAAACAAATTATTTAACACAGAGAGTGCGATGTAAAATTTGTGGTAGTATATATTTTCATAAGTATGTACGTAATTATTAAAAAAGAATAAATCTGATATAAGTTAATTAAGGCATATTATTAACTCTTAATAACATTAAGCCCATAAATACATTAATACTCATGTAGATGTATATATAAAAGTATAAAATAAGAGGCCTTGATTTTTTCTTTTCCACTTGGAAACTATGTACAATCACGATATGCACTTAATTAATAATTAGCGATTAATTAATTACTTCGAATCTAACAATAGTCATTCGCGAATGCGTGACTTAGTGAAATCATAAAATTTTTATCCGAATTCAAATAATATTAAATTTTACCTGACTGACATGGGCTAGATGTGATTTTTGTGCCGGATCTTTTAGCGCCGGCAGGTGAGCGCTGAATTGGCTCGCTAAAACGCTCCTCGATCGCGTTACACTTCGAGCCAGTTTTTGCAAATTTTGATAAACCTGAAACAAAAAACAAATCATTATAAAAATGACTATAAAACGGACCTTAGATATTATGTAATTTAGTATATGGCTAATGTACCAGTTTATAAAGCCAATAAAATAATAAAAAAAAAAAAAAAAAAAAAAAAAAAAAAAAAAAAAAAAAAAAAAAAACGGACCTTGTAACCACAATATATATAGCGTTTAAAACTGCATTATATCATGCTGTAATAATATCCAGTTTTACTTGGAAAACCTAAAAAGTTTGTAGCATCAATATGTTAAAAATGTTAATACCAACGAATTGTTGTCGGTAAACTTTAATTTTTTTAAATTATTTATATATAATACAGTATTACATAAATTATTATTATATACTAGCTAACCCGGCAAACGTTGTTTTGCCGAGTAAGGTATATTCTAAACAATTTCTAGAGTATCAAAAAAATTAATACTTTACGTTTATAACATAAACTGAGGTTATAGCTGGTTACACATCTTTTTCCCTCTACTTTCAAATATTGTTGTTGAACAATGCTTAACTTTACTGGTTTTTGACACATCGGTGGTGGACCTTTTTAACCCCGGACCTTCATATGTTATTATCTATTCTTCGATAAATTCTGGGAAATTATAATTGGGAATATGTTATTTGACAATATGTCCCTTTGATCGATACCAAATTTAGGTTCAGAATTGAACTAACATAAATAAAAAATAATATAACCTAGAAAATGTTTCATAAATACCAATGAGTATATAATTATACAAATGAGATCTTTCAGAGCACCGTCTTTGAGAAAAATATGATTTGCAAAAAAGGAGTGCTACAACGCCAAAAAATGCATTTTCATATTAACATTTAAAAAAAGTTGATATTTTGAGTTTCTTATAAAACTTGCGATCCGTTTAATAACGTTTTTGGGTATAAATATAACTACGAGCAAAACTACTTACTACAATTTAATTATAATTAAATAAAATTCACGTAAAACATCCTATTAAACGTAATTGAACATCATCTGTCAAAAACGTTTGACATTTGACGTATTAGTCACCGTCCATTGTTTTACTCAAATTATGCTTTTACCAAAATTTTCAAATTAAAAATGTAAAGTTTCTACGCGATTTTGAAATATCTCACCTTTCGGATCATCTCTGGATTGGCATGAATTTTTCAAGACCACGACTGGCCAAATCGGTTTAGCCGTTTTCGAGTTTTAGCGTATATAAGAATATATAAAACGGATTGACTGTAAATACACACATTTATATACAGGTTGTCCTAGAACCTAATATGAAACCTCGAATATGGAATAAAATAATGCATATGGCTAAATGCTTTGTTGAGTCTTGATAATGAATCCTAGATTTTTTATTGCTCTGAGTTTAATTCCTGAACAGTAAACTTAAAATTACAGATAGTATTAACTCAACTCCATTTAAAAAGTTTCTGTACTAGTTATTTGTCATCGTCAGGATTTCTGTTGAAAACAAAATAAGTAGATATATGAGCCGATTCTGCCATAAAGTAGACTTATTTTAGGGTAAGGGTATTTTACGTGGCAGTTTTCATACAAAATCATATTAAATACTGTCAAAAAGCAACTTTACTCATATGTTATCAAACCATATCACAAAGATCCAGTTTTTTTTATTTAAAACTGCTAGACTGCACAGAAACCACATGGCTTTCGTCAGTACGATTTAGTACTGTTTTGTATGAAAACTGCTACAAAATATAGCCTTGTCATAAAATTGGTCTATTTTGGAGAATCGGCCTCATAATGATGATGGTAAGGACAGTATGGAAAATATTTTTTAGCAAGGAATATTTTTAGTTGTTTTAGAGGAATTGAGAAACATGATTTAACGGTGAGTTCGGTATATAAATACATGTCACTGTTATTTAAAGTGGTTAAAAGTGGAAGTTAAAAGTTTTCACTTAAAAATAGTGTGATGTGTTTATTGATGGAAGAAGTCTGAAAAAGAAACCCTCGAAACGTTGCAAACATCAATAGCATCTGCAGAAAAATTGGTTTTTCTTTACCTTGGATTGACTGTTTAAAAAACACACTCATGAACACACACACACACACACACACACACACACATATATATATATATTAGAGCGGGTCGATTTGTATGGAGCAAAAAATTTTGCTTAGGCACATATAATTTTCGGATACTAGGGATCAAAATAAGATACTTTCCTGAAGAAACTATACCTCTAAAATGAATTCTGATGTCCTGTGCAATAACCCAAAAATAAGGGTTGAAATTGGAAAATTCCGAGTGAAATTCCTGTATATTTAATATTAATAATCATATTCCTGCTAAAGCTCTTTGACAGTAAGAAATGAGAATAACAAAGATCGTTTAATATTTATTCATTCTCAAGATACTTCATATCATCCAAGTTGTAATATTTATACTTCATGTTATCTATTTATATTCATTATAATTCATGAACTCTATTTATATTTCACTATAAATAAAGAAATTCACACGTCTCTTATTGGGAATCATGTTTTCTTTGAGCGAAAGTCAGCATATTATATCGAAATATTGATTCTAAGTACAATATTATATACGAGCAAACTATGGGAAATTCTGCTGAAGAAAACGAATCTGACTTTCTCTCATTCAAGTAAAATTTATGGCAAACAAATCGATTATATGTACGATTAAATCTTGTGCCACTTAGATATTTCAAACTGTATAGTAGTTATTATAGGGCTTAAATAAATTTAATTTTGTTATTTATTTATTAACCTACCTCCCCTGGTGTCTTCCTGATCTATCGGTTGTTTTAGAGCAGTGATGTCCCTGAACGTCAATAAAAACAGGACCACGAGATCCCTTTCGTTGCGGATAGGGGCCACTTGCAAAAGTAGCCATAGTGGAGTTTCTGAAATATGGATATATTATTGTTGTTAGCATAAATAGTTTCTACTTGCGAATTAGCAATTGGCTATTTACTAAATAACTATTTTGTAAGCGCTTACAAGCAATAATGCTATTTTATGGCGGTAATATAAATGTATAATAATAATAAATGTTATTTATGTATAAAGAAGATAATGAAAGAGTGCTTGAATATTTGAAAGCTTGTGTCATATGTTCTTGATTTTGAATATTTTGTACTTATGGTAAATAATTTATAATAAAGTACAATGTACAATGTACAAATAGAAAAATCTGGAACAACAAAATTTTTTCATACACTTTAATTTAAAATGTTAAAAGCTTCATCTTCAAATTTTTCAAATTCGATTTTTTTCATATTTTATCAGACCTTCAAGAATTTTCATAAACTCTCATTTAAGTTACAAAATAGAAAATACTGAATGTCGCCAAAATTTGATTTCACTAAAATCTTCGAAAAATCTCTTTCTACAAATTTATATATTAGTGATTTTTTAATTTATTGCAACTTTAATTTAAAATGTTAAAAGCTTCAACTTCAAATTTTTCAAATTCGATTTTTTTCATATTTTATCAGGCCTTCAAGAATTTTCATAAATTCTCATTCAAGTCCCTAAATTGAAAATACTGAATGTCGCCAAAATTTGATTTTCACTAAAATCTTACAAAAATCTCTTTTTCTACAAATTTATATAACTTTGATTTTTTAATTTATTTCAAATTTTGTCGTCCATTTAGAAAACTAAATTTCAAGTAGTACTAGTTTATACTTATGGTTTTTTATAGACCATATATACATATAGTCTATATAAACTACAGAAGTTTAGAAAATTAGCTTCAAAGCATAATATACTACTAGTTTATAATTTTGGATTTATTTGTCTTAATATTTATTCGATAATTTGTTTTACTCCTAACTTACAGAAGTTCAGGTAGTACTACTAGTTTATATTTCTGGAACAATCTGTATAATTAATTTTTTTTTATTCAACAATATATTTACAACTGTTCTACATAGACATTAAGTAAATCTTTTGTTCTACTACTACTTTTAGTCTACTAATACTTTTGGTACAGATTATTTTTTAGATTATTTAGAATTTATATACAGATTATTTAGAATTTGTTTTTCTTATTAATCTAAAAATATTATATTTCATTTAAACTTGATGATGAAAGCACGTATATACGTGAAATTATGAATGTTAAGTTTTTAAGTTTACTCAATTTAATAATACTACAATATATTTATTATTAATTCCTTGTTTATCTTTATTAATTAATACCTAGTCTTGAGTAAAAATACTATCTAGTGGAATTTGTTTTCCACTTATTAGTAATTTTATTTTTTTATTAGACCAATTTTTTTGAATATCAACATATGATCAACATGTAGTTTGCCATTCAAACCAACACAATTTCTATTTTGAAAATTGAATTTCGTAAAGGAGAACAATTTCTATATACATTGAGACTTTGAGAAAATACTAAACTTCATTCATTCAAAATATATTACTTGAATAAATCTTTATCTTCAATATTTAGACTTATTAAATTTTTATCATTACAAATGAATTTGTATACAATTTTAAATAAAGAATTAAAAAAAAACTATATAATCGAATCAGGCGCACATCAGATCGATATTTCACGATCACTTCAACTTTTGATTGAAAAGTTTATCAATTAATTAAAGTCTTACGAAGTTACAAAGTGCAAACATGCAACGTCATAAATCAATTATACAAGTTTTAAGCAATTGGTTAACTATTTGTTAACATAGATATAAAAAATGTTAATTAAATAGAAATAATAGTGGAGATAGGATTAAAGTTTAAGTTATATTGAAATACTACAGATTAGTAGTTTTTATCAGGTTTATTTTTGGGTTTTCCGAGATTTTTGATCATAAAACATAGGAGTATTGAAATGTAACTTTTTGGTAATTATTTTTTGCTATTTAATGTACATTTAGGCTTTTGTCTCATTGTCCTATACCTCCTAGATGCATGGCAATCGTCAAAAATAGTGATTTTTTTTGTCATGTCACAACTTTAAAGTCGTATAACTCGTCGTACATTTATAAATCTAGATTCAGCATTTTTTTATTGCAAATTTTTAATTTGATAATGAATAAACTCTATGAGTTACAGTTCTGAAAGAAAAAAAATTACACCCAAAAATAAAAATGTAGAGAAACTTTTATAAAAATAAAATATTAAGTCATACTAATTTCGATTTGAACGTGCTCAAAAACACGTGTAAATTTTGTTCGAAGTACACTAAGTAGATAGAAATAAATATTTTTAACTTCCCGAAGTAGAACTTTATTTTCGCCAAATATCCGAGTTACTAATTTTATGTTTTTTTATGTTTCAAATTATTCTACGATTTTGATGACACTTCTTAGTTTAAAATAACATACGAAATTTTCATAGGCGATTGAAATATAAAAAATATTAAGGTTTAGATTTTACGCGACAATTTTTCGCGAGCTTGAGTGATTGTAATTAGAATCTATGCCGAAGCATCTTTGTTCTAGGGTGTATCGTAGGTAGCTACTGATTACAGTTTACATCCATATTGTCGAATGAAATGTGTTAAGCAAATTATAATCATGTTTGAAAGATATCAATTAGAAATCGCATTAATTTTTTTATGAAAAGCAAAAATGTTGTTTTCGAAATAGTTGAAAATTTTACTTAAATAGCTCAACCTCAATCATTATTAGTTAAGTTGATTGTGTATACGTATCAGAACTTGCCTTAACACAAAATGCTACTTACAAAGATACGTTCAAAGATCATTATAAATTTAATATTTTAATTGATATTAAATTATTACTATTCAATAAGAATCGAAATATGTTATTACATTAGAGTATAATTCAGTACATATTGTTAAAACCGTGACTCCAAAAAAGTCCAAAACTAACCCGGTGAACTGAAAATACCTGAAGTGCTACTGTATTTCTCATTCGGTATGAAAAATAGTCCTAACATTATAAAATTTTCATCGCTTTTCCCATTTGCGCATCGCGTGGGCAAAAATAGCTCCATATTTTGGCCATAAAACACGAAGTGCAATAGAGAATGTTATGTTTTGGGCCAAGTCGGAGGACCGCACCGGTGTGTTCGGTGGTGAGGGTGAGGGTGAGGGTGAGTTATACGTAATTAGTTTCGCTTGCCGTAGAATCGTATTTTGCATTAATAATAATTTTGGTGATTTATTCAAAGTGCCTAACATCAGACTGAAGCTTTGATTACACTAAGCGTACAGGAGTCGATACAGGGACGAGCATGAGCAAACTTTTTGCAATACGGATATAGTTATTTGGCTAGCCCACAGGCTTACAATAGTTAAACCACTTTGTTTTTCTTATTGAATGAAAATTCGAATGAAATATGAAATTCAATTACTATATTAATTATTATTTGAATAGCAATTAGACCATGAGTAGTCTAGGGCGGTACTCAAAGGTCCAATTTGACTTTGACTAAACTAATTATATCATTACAAATAGCACATATCCAACAAACAACTATCTGTCACTTTCGGTAAAACTGTCAGCCTATTCATCATAGTAGAAATATGTTTTTCGCTGTTTTTCAAAAATTTGTCACTGGGTCCTTTTACCCCATAGGTGGCGTAAAAATCGGCCAAGGAGCGAAAAGATCCAGTGCCTTTTTTATTTTGAAGAAATTTTGTGAAATAATAGCTACATTATTTAATCAATGCAAAATATAAATTTTATGGGTACATTTTTTACAGAGATAACTGTATGTCTGTATATAACCTTGATTTGGTATTTCGTCAGAAATATGCATCAGCAGAATTGTAATAACTATTTGTTTAATTTATCTCTTGTAAATTGCTCTTTTTAACTTAATTCACTTGTTTATTTACTATTATTTATTGTTAACATCTCTTCCAAGATAAAAGTTCAGTTGGACCTTTTTTTACCCCGCCCGCATGTATTATATATGTTATATGAAAACATCTGTTGTATCTAACTGAAAATTAACAATACATCCTATGAAACTTGCAAAAAAACAACAGTGCTCATAACCAAGAAAACTAACAATGAAAGAAAATACTTTTGATATGGATTTTCAAACATTGCCGTTTATCTCCTGATAGCAACGTCGTAAAAATGATTGGTTATACATGTTTTTTCCCTGCTTTTAAATATTGTTGTTAAAAATACGTTACTTTTCTTGACATCGGTGGACCTTTTTAACCGCAAATCTTCAAGTCCCGCTCTACCCTATCTTATAATTGTATTGATATGACTTAATTAACTTAACCCCCAAACAGTTATTTCTATAATGAATTTCATTATTAAAATTTTGATGCATTTTTAATTTTGGTTGATTGATGCCTCAATGCCATGCAAGGCTTATTTTTACTGAAACATTTCCATTTACATTTTCAAGCGAAAACTGATGTTACTTCTACTTGACACAAGGCTGTCTGAACCTGAAACCTTTGATCGAAATCCCATAGCTCTAACCACAATAAAAAAAGTTGTTAAGCTTGCACTCAAAGTTTTTAATTATTTATTTTATTCTAATGAAACCAAATAAACCAATCAAGAATATAATTAATTTTTTTGCTAGACGAAATATAGTTATTATGCTACGACTTATTTTAACGATATTAAACTTTCAAAAGGCTTTTTATTGAATTGTTATTAATTTATTTTGAGATTTATAAAATCTAATCAAACAGAAAAATAGCTCATTCTCACAATAGTTAAACCATTTTGATTTTTTTTATTAAATTCCTGTAAGATTTTGTTTGGATAAGTAGAAAACCAAATTAGTCTAATTACAAGCGACTCCATTACCAAATTACTCCTTAAATAATTTTGTTCATATACATTTCTATTTCAGAACATTAAAAGGTCGAAATTCCAGAACATAATTTTTCCATGTTAATGAATGCTTATTGTAGCTCGTTTTGATTTCTTTGAATGTATAA